ATTCCACAAAAATCAAGTCGCTCATGACCAGAAAATCTTTACATTCCATCGTGGACAGATGCCATGATTTGTGCCTCATCACGAAAGTTTGGAACATTCTGGAACAGTCAAGGAGCCCACGGACCATTCAGTCTACCTCTCGGTTGGATGAATGCCATCAGGCAGCTGGAAACTTTTACCTCAGAGCACTCGAAAACTACCAGAAGAGCCAAATGTGCCTCCCAGCATTTCTTGAGATTTTGCAACTCACCATGAGGCATTACCTCACGCACACACACACAAAAAGGGTTACGGTTACGGATAGGCCTTTGTTTCACCTTATGACCGAACTCTTCCCTCTCCCTTCCCTGAAACCTCTGATGATTTAGTCAGAACAGACTGGAAAAATAAAAATAAATCACAATTTGTCCTAAGTTATAAATTACCCATATTACGATTGCAAAACGTCCCAGATCTTTTTTTTTTTTAAAAAAAGCAATGGACAGGAACAGAAACACGTATCGCTAAGCTATCCTTGGAGATATCCCAGAATGTCCGATTGGTATGAAGCGAGGCAGCAACACTCCTGCCTGGGGTCAACTACCTGGAACGTACCGCTTCAGGTTGCCAAATCCGGATTCAGAAATACCTGGGGATTTGAGGGATGAGCCTGTGGAGGGTGGGGTTTAGGGAAGGGAGGGACCTAGGTAGGGTATAATGCCATACAGTCCACGTGCCAAAGCAGCCATTTTTCTCCGGAGAAGTGGGATACATGTTTTAAATAAAGAAATAAATCAGCTGTAATTCTGGGAGATTTCAAGCCCTCACCTGGAGATTGGCCACCCTAATCCCACTCCAGGGCTGTGACAACAGTACTGATTGCCTGTTTGTTTCTGGGCCCAATTCAGAGGGCTAGTTGTCACCCTTAAAGCCGTTCAAGGCCAGGGGCCCTCACACCAATCGGACTGTATCTTCCGCTTATGGTCCCCTGAACTGCTGCGCTCTTGAGACAGACTTCTCCCTGTTGAGCCAGTTTGGTGTCGCGGTTAGGTAGCACGGACTCTAATCTGGGAGAACTGGGTTTGATTCCACACTCCTCCACATGCAGCCAGCTGGGTGACCTTGGGTCAGTCACAAGTTCTCGCAGAGCTGTTCTCTCAAGGACAGCTCTCGGGAGAGCTCTCTCAGCCCCACCTACCTCACAGGGTATCAGTTGTGGGGAGGGGAAGGGAAAGGAGATTGTAAGCTGCTCTGAGATTCCTTTGGGTAGTAAAGGGTGGGGTATAAATCCAATCTCATCCTCTTCTTCTTCTTGAGCCCTCTCTTAGGACTGGCCATCTGGCATGAATCAAATCCCAGGGTTTCCCTGTGGCATTTCCACACCTTTGGACTAAGGCGAGGGGGGACCTCAGTGGGGTATAACGCCAGAGAGTCCAGCCTCCAAAGTCGCCATTCCTGCCACAGGAACTTATCCCTGTCCTCTGTAGAGTTGCCAACCTCCTCAGGCTGGGCTCCTCAGGCTCTGCCCCCAATTACTTCAGATATTTCCCAGCTGGCAACCCTATCTTGGAAATACCTGGAGATTTTGGGGGTGGAGCCTGGGAAGGTGAGGTTTAGGGAGGAGAGGGACATCGGTAGGGTATAATGTCATATAGTCCACCTTCCAAAGCAGCCATTTTCTCCAGGAGAAGTGGAATGGATGTCCTGAATGAATAATAAAGAAGAAGAAAAAGAGAAGAGATTGGATTTATACCCTGCCCTTCACTACCCAAGGGAGTCTCAGAGTGGCTTACGAACTCCTTTCCCTTCCCCTCCCCACAACAGACACCCTGTGAGGTCGGTGGGGCTGAGAGAGCTTGACAGAAACTGCTCTTTTTCAAGAACAGCTCTGGCAGGACTATGGCTTGCCCAAGGTCATCCAGCAGGTGCAAGTGGAGGAGCGGAGAATCAAACCCGGTTCTCCCAGAATAGAGTCCGCACACTAAACCACGACACCAGACTGGCTCTCTGAATAAACTGAATAAAACTTTGTTGGTCTTAAAGGTGTGAGGGTCAAGTGTGCAATACGAATGACAAAGGCAGGCTCCAGCCAGCCCTCTGTTTTGTGGGGGTGGGTGGGGGTGACCTCATTTGACGCCAGGTCTCAGCATCATGAACTTGTTCTCAGTAAATTTCAGCCCATAAAAACCCCAAAGACAGAACTTCTCTTTCCTGGTCTGAAGAGGTCTAAACCAGAAAATTATGACGAAACAGCGTTTGGTGTACTGAAAGGGCGGGGGGATTCTTTAACGTCTTTATTTATAATTTTGTAAATAATGTTCTCCCCCCTCAAAGTCTCCCGCTTCCTTCTCCCACAGCATTCTAAAAAATACATTTCTTTTGCTCAACGATATATTATATTTCAGTATATAAACAAACGATTCTATACATGGCCAACACAAGGCAGTTGTGCTGGGGCCTGTAACCTCACAAGCTCTCCCAAAACTCAGTCTCGTTACTCTGAAATAGTATGATATTTTTTCCCACCCGCCTTACAGGGTCATTGTAAAAAATTTACTTCATAATGCACTTGAAAATGCTTTGCGCACCCTCAAAACTGTGCCACGCAACAGCCTTGAATATCTGTGCACGAGAGACAATTTCAGACATTTGCGCCTTCGGAAGACCTGCAGGATGAGAAACAAAATACTCTTAAGTGCCATTTTCTGCTTTGGGACAGACGCTGGTTTGGTCTACAATGAATGGTTGCCAACTCCTGCTTGGGAAATACCTGGAGATTTGGAGGTGGAGGCTGAGGGTGGGTGGGAGAGGGGAGGGACCGCAGCAGGGTGTAATACCATACAGTCCACCCTCCAAGGCAGCCATTTTCTCCAGGGGAACGGACAGTCATCGTCTGGAGATCAACTGTAATCCCAAGAGGTCTCCAGCCACCACCTGGGGGTTGGTAACCCTAACGCATATGCACCCCAGCAAAGGGAAGGGACGCTGAGGTGATAGAATGGGCTGTACCAATTCAGACTGTAGGTAGGGGGAGTAAATAATTTTTTTAAAACAGCACATCTGTCAGAGAGGTTCTACCTCAGCCTGTGGCGCTAGATTTCCATTTAGAGAGAATAATAATGGTGCTTTCACACGCACACACACACACGCACACACAAACGTTGGAACAGAAATCCCCCTCTGCATTGCATGCCCCTTTCACTCTGATCGTTGGATTTTATGGTAGCCTCCACACTGCAATGCTGCTTTCACTTTCTTTGATCTCTCGGTTTTATGGTAGCCGTCTGCATAGATTTATGGCCGTCTTATGGCCATTCAGGGTTGACTCTGCAGTCAGTATGCTGTTGGCCCAGGGTATTTGGTCCTTTCCGCACTTGGATCTCATCCCTGGTTGTAGCAGAGTTCAACTCGCCACACAATACCTTGCATTTATCCCTGGTTTTAACAGAATCCGTTTATCCCGGGACAAGTGTGGGGAGAAACTGGGGTGACCTCAGCGTAATATGGAAACAAAAAATACCCCGAGATAATTACAGGGGTGAACTTGCGTGCAGTGTAGAATGTAAGTTCGGGGATAGGGTTGAGCCAGGATTTAGTGTGGAAAGGACCTCTGAATGTGGTTTTGAGCCGCATCTCTTTCTGTTCCAGTGTGGGTTTGGTCAAACAACGGAGCAAATGCTAGATGCAGAGTGGGCCTAAATAACGTACTTTCAACCCACTTTCCGACTGGATTTTACTGTGTGAAATGGCAAAATCCACTTGCAAACGATCGCTGAAGTGGATTGGAACGGCATTATTTCGCCTGCGTGAAAGCAAGAATGCAAATCCTCCCCTCCCCTCCCAAGTGGTACACCCGATTCTCCCACCTCAGCATGCCACCCCCTCATTCCTACCTCACTGTAGACCACCGAATCTCTTGGGGCATTTTCAGACAAGACATTGAAGGGGGAGGGGTGGATTGGGTGTCTCTGAAGGAGAGTAAGCTCTTTCCCCCACATGCCGAGGCCAGTAAAGGACACGGGGGCTTCATTTTTGCAGAGGGGGAGATTTAGATCAAGGTAAACAGTTTAGCTGCTCCCCCAGGGACGTAGGCTCAAATCCCTTAGTCCCCAATCCCTTCCACACAGGTGCTTCTGCATAAAACCAAAGATGCCGCATGTCACCAGGTCACAGATACAGCCAGTTGCCTGAATTGTCCTTAAGTGACCAGAGGGGGTGACAGCAATTTCATAGGGTAGTGAGTCGAATGGGAGACTGGAGTGACGTGGGTTCAAATTAGGAGTAGGAGGCGGGGCAGGGAGTGCCTATGACACATAGTGTTGTGATGTCATTTCCGGTTTGTGCCCCGAAATGATGCCACGACGCTCTAGGAATCTGCACTTCTCTG